GAATGGGCTGGCCAGGTACTGCGGCCAGGTGGGCCTATGGGCCTCCAAAGCCACTGACCTACCTCACCAAGGGGGGTGCCTGTGCCGTGGACAGAAGGGGGGGTGCCTGTGCCGTGGACAGAAGGCCTGGGCCCAGGAAGCACTCTCAATAAATGGAGATTCACAGAGCGGGGGGTGGGGGGGGCAGAAGGGCGCACGGCACCTCTGAAACCCCAGTGCCAGCTCTACCCAGGCTGGCACTGGCTTCAGGTGACATGGGGGAGTCAGGCCCCTGTCAACAGCACCCCGTTCTCCTGGCTAGGCTGGGTGACTGTCCAGCATACTCATTCCCCCTCCACCCTGCTCTGTCCAGCAGCCGGGATGACCGACTCAAACATTGTGCCTAATCCCGCCAGTGGCTTAACTGGCCTCAAGAAAGATCTTTCCACAGCTGCATGATCTACCTGCCTCTGCAGCCACGCTGCTTTCTCTCAGCCCCTCACTCCATTGGGTCTGACCAAAAGGGCTTGGCTTATTGCTTCGCACCCAGCATTGCCATCAGCCAGCCTTGCTCCTGACCACCCCTCAGTTCTCAGGTGGCTGCCACGTCTCTAGCCACACGGGATGGCCTCAGCCCAGGCTGGATTCCCCACAGGAAGTCCCCGTCACTGCAGATCCACTCTCATCAACCACTTTGCCCCTTCTGATGCCCACGTAACATCCCACACAGCACAGAAGCTCTGCAGCGTGACGACCCTAATTACCACGTTCAAGTCGACCCCCATCACAGTTCAGAAGAAGCCGTATCAGCGGTAGTAGTTTGGGAAAAGTGCCAAAAAGTCCTTGTGGGAGGGAAGGTTAAGAGAGAGGAGACACAGAAGGAGGGAAGTGGAGAGAGAGAGAGGGAGGAAAGGCAGAGAGGGAGGAGAGAATGAGAATGAATAAAGCTATCATTCACTACAGCTGTCAGGCCTCTGCTGTGGCCGGGCGTGAAAGATCCTTAAGGTATCTGCTGAGAAGAGAGACTGCAGTACCCGTGGGTGCTGAGTAAGAAGCAGCAGACTATCGTATACCCAGGGACAGGTGTGTTCACTCACCTGGGACAGCCTCCTCCCCCACTCCTCAGCCAGGCCCTCATGGGGCATCACAACCCGGCAGATGCTTCGCTGCCTGAGTCAGGGCGAGCCACTGACATGAGGCCAGGCTGCCACATGGTTCCCTGAAAGGGGCTCTCCCCTGGCCCACAGCTCGCAGGGAGGATGGTGTGTGTGTGTGGGGGGGGGGGGTGCAGCCTGCCAGATGCATAATGACCCCAGCACACACCCTCACATTCAGAGTCCAGGAAGAAGGAAGTTTTCTTCCACAGCTGCCCACTGGCAAGCAGCTGGTCCACATACCAACTACAGGAACAAAGCAGCGCCCTCCTACAGCCTGCCCCCACAGTGAAGTCGCTGGCCTTTCTTTAGTGTTGGTTCCTGTGCTGCACACTCTAGATCGGCCCCTGGACTGCAGCTGCTGCCCCTGGGGCAACCCTGGCAGGCTACCCCTGGGCTGCCCCTCACTCTCGGACCACACACAGCTGCCTGAGTTCCGGTTCAGCGCAGAGGCCAGCAGGCAGCCCCCAGTGCAGGAGTGTGAGTGGAGAAGGGGCTGGTTCTCGGAGCTCTGTCCCTACCCAGACCAGGGCTGGCAACGGCCGCAGCAGCCCTCCAGCCCAGCCCGCCAGGCCCTTCCCACAGCAGCAGTTCCCAGCTTGGAGGGATGGCTCCCCGCCCTCACCCGAGGGCCAGCCGTGACAGCCCCCACTCACGTGCAGGCCCGCGTGGGCCTCCCTGCACCCTACCCTGGGAAATCTCTCTTGCTCACCCTTCTCAGCACGCCATCTTTTTTTCTCGGATAAAGATTTAAAGAGCCCCCAGTTCCTGTTCTTGAGCAGAGTGGAGCAACACTTAAAGATCCAGCACAGCCTGGTTCTCCACCCGCTCCTGAGTTCCTCAGGCGAAATAAACTCCCCATCCCTAAAGACCTGGCTGCCAAAGAAGATGCCTGCTGGAAGGCCAGGCTGGCCTCCGGGCCTTCCCCACCTGCCTGAGCTGGGCTCTTACCCTGGGAGAGCAGTAGCGTCCCTGGGGGGGAGAGGGGGTGGGAGAGGCGCTCACTGTGATTAGAATCAGTGACACAATCTGAGTGTCCGTGTGACCGTGGCACCCTGTACCTGCCAGTCGGCCCTGCGGACCCCTCGTCTTCCGCTCCAGTGCTCGAGAGCAAAATATGCTCTTGACACTGCTCATCACTCAGACACATGCTCACACACACCTTCACACGCGTGCCCACAGGTGTGGACACACCCAGAACACCCTCCACCTGCACTCCTTACACAAGGCCTGCACCAAGCTGTCACTTCAGGGCCCCGTCTCACTGCACCTGCGGCCCTGCCCTGCAGGACAGCCATGCCCGGGGATGGGACTCATGGCACATGGCCTGTGAGCCTCACCTGGGCAGGAGCAGAAGAGCAGGGCTGGCGTTTCACAGACCCAACACCGATCCTCAGTGAGTGCCTACCTGGGGTGGCCAGCCAGCGCCCCAGCCAACACACCTCACTGAGGTGCTCTGTGAAAGTGGGGTTCTGAAGTGTGCCTCCAGCATGCCATGCTGACCCCATCTCCGTAGCTCCTGTGGACAAGTGCTGGGCTTTGCTGGGCACACGCCTGGGGAAGTGACTGCCCAGCTGCCCGCCCTGGGGACTAGCGCTTGTGGGCACAAAGGATCTCTGAGGGGTGCCAGCCACACCCACATCCCCCAGCCAAAGAGAACTCATGCTGGGTAGCTGTGGCATGAGGTATGGGGAGCTGTGGACTGGAGGGGTCCCAGTTGCACGCAACCAGACGGCTTTTCAGGGGCTCCAGTCCCCCCGCGACAGCACAACACGAGAGGTGAGGACATGTGCAGACACGTTTGGCTCTCGAGTTCTGACTCCAGTGTGGCCTCCCAGAGAGGGGAACGTCTGGGCCACTTTGCATGGTTCTCGCCCCCAGCCCTTAGGCACAGAAGACATTCCCTATGCGGCAGCTCCAGTGAGGGCCCCTCCCCAGCCCCAGCTCTGGCAGCTGGCTGGCGAATGTGGCAAGGCGCTTTTCGCTTCACTTAAAGTCTAAAACTGGAGACTCAGCCCCAAGGCGGAAGCTCCTGCCCCAGGTGGGTGGGGTCACAGGTAGACGGAAGCCGCACGTGCCTGTCTCCTCTGGTCTTTAGGCTGAGGCCCTTGTGCAGGTCATTTCTCCTCAGATTCCCTCCCTGCTCCCAGCCCTTCCTGGAGCCCCAGCTCTGAGCAGTGACTCAGACTCCCACCGCCATCTCAGGGCCCAGCCCCCCCACCTCCCACTCTCCCCCAGACCCCACCGTCTTCCAGGCTTCTCCTCTGCTGTCTCGCAGGGTGAGGACAATCCCAAGGGCTGCCCTGTGTGGCACCGCTGCCCATACTTACCTCTTTCCCAGGAGAGGGGTCCTGGGAGTGAGGGCAAAGCAAACATGCCCCCAGCAGGCAGCATGGAGTCCACCGCCAGTGAGCAGCAGTGTTTGCCTCTCTCCTCCGCCTGGGACTCTGGACGCACAGCCCAGCTCCTGGGGGCCTGCCAGGCTGGCCTATTGTCTGGCACTGTTTGCCTTTGGGCTGAGAGGGACCCTGGAGTGTGGAAGCAGACAGAGGCTGGGTGGAGGTGGGGAGGGAGCAGGTTATAACACCAACCAGGCAGCCTGCCTGGTGCCAAATGCTAGGGCCTAGGGAGCCCCTGGGCAAGAGTCGCTGGCCTCAGGGCTGCTCACCCCCTCCACAGGCTCAGTGACCTAAGTGATGGCAGAAACCCCTTCCTTTTCTAACAGAAACCCCTCAGGGCCATGATCCTCCCTCTCACGGCCTCTCTGCCCTCTCACCCCTCCAGCGCTGGGGCAGACAAGGAGACACTCCAAGTGCTGCCAGAGGGTGGTGGAGCCCTCGAGGGGAGTGGCGGAGCCGCTCCTGGGGACCGCAGAGCGGGTTTGCGTGGGTCCTAGGAGGCTGTGGCCTTTCAAAACCCATCTCCCCTACCCACCACCTGTGGCTTATGTTTACCCAGCTTGGCCCAGAGCAGTGGCACACTGAGCGAGTCACTTCCTCTTTGTGTGTCTCCATGGCCATCAGATGAGGGGTTGGATTCCTGCACCTCTAAGTGCCCACCAGCTTCTCAGTGTCCTAACCGTAGACTCAGGCCCAGAAGCCCTACAAGATAGCAGAGAGCGACTTGCTGTCACAGAAGCACAAGGGGGAGGACTCAGCCCCTTGGCCAGAGATGACTCAAGCCACCGACTGCAAGCTGGCTGCACTTAGGTGTTCAGACACCCTCTGTACCCAGGCGGCACAGCGCCCTACCACAGGTGCATATTACCTCACTTTAAGGTGTGACACGCATTTTAGAGCGCATTGCACGCTTTGTGCATATCCATTCTGTGAGGCAATATACTCACGTGGCGGTATACACACCGTGGGGCACATGGATGCCTGGGCATGCACACAGTGCATGTAGACACACCGCCGGGTAGTCAAACTTTCTGTGCATAGCGCCTTGCAGGAGAAGCCTCACTGGTGGGAGTTGTCTGCAAGGTGGTGCTGATGTGACTGCCACCAGCTCTGGGGTTGCAGAGGGCAGATCCTGGCACCTGGTAAAGCTGGATATGCAGTGTCGCCACCCCTTGGTAAACTTGAGTAATCACTTGCCCTTTACTACTTTCTTTGGTGGGCACCGGGGATGGTGATAACTACCTTAAAGGGCTTAGGGGAAGATAAGTGAAGTTGAAGCCACATGGGTTTAAGATAGCTGGCACTTAAGAAACCCTAGGTAAATGGTAACATTGTCACTGCACTTTCAAAGGAGTGTTTTATAATGTACAACTACCTGTTAACTAAAAATACCAGATAGCCATATAATCAGGTGTTCCCAGAACCTTCCAGTTCTTGGAAACTCAGACAGCAGACAGGACCACTTAATTCATATTTATTTCACATTTGATCTGTAAACGTTTTATTTTAAAAATCCACTGTCATTAGCAACATGTGCTGACATTAGTTTTTCTTTAGTGATAGAAGAGTGCAGGCCTCGCAGGCCTCAAGAGTCTCAGTCTAAACCATGTAGAAACTCAGATGTAAACACAAGGTCTCCGCCCTCCTCCCCTCCCAACAGGAGTCCATCAGTGGCACAACCTCAACCAGAAAAGCAGGGAGAAAAAAAGGGCAACACTCTGACACCTAAACACTCTGGGAGCAGAAACTTCAGCTTGACAAGCTCGTTTGTCTTTTCAGGCTGTTTACCTTGGGCAAATTGTATCAGCTTTGCTTCTTCCACTTAATTTCCACTGCCCAGGTCTAAACCCAGCAGTTCAAAGTTTTCCCCTAGTCAGCACTTTGGGGAGGGAGGGGCCGCGTACATACCAAGTAGAAACAAAACATAACCTTCAAGCAGGGGCCCTGGACACAGGGGGAGAACATGGGAAAGAGATGGTTTTTAAGTCAGTTACTGGGACGAAGGGGCACCAGGATAATGGCTCTGTACACAAGGCTGATGCAAGGCGGAAAGGTTCATTTACTTCTGTCTTGGTCCACCGCTGTAATATTTACATAGGAAAAGGCAATCGCTTGTGCTGTTAGGCACAGGGGTGGGGGGAGGGGGAAAATGGGTAGAAATCCTTCCCCCCTCAGGAAATCTCAAAGCAGGTCTAGGCCCCAGGGACAGTCACCAGTTGCTGGTGAAAGGACAGAGAGAGGTAAAGACATCAGAACGTGGTTTTGCAAGGCAAAGGGGCAGTGGCCTGAAGCAGAACTAAGTGTCTGTCTCCAGGACATCTGGACAGCCAGGATTTCAACAACAAAGCCAAGCGAGGTTGGGGGGACCCCCTCCCCTCACTATCAAAAATAGTGTATATTTACAGTGGGGGATGCTGAGGGCAGGCGGGGCAGCCCAGCCTTTGTTTAAAAATAGAGCCAGGAGGGAGCAGGGGGCAATTAGCCAGGTCCGGGTAAGCCCTGTCCATTGACCCTTTGTGAGCTGTGACCTTTGGGAAGCCTGTGCTTGCGAGGAACCCTGGGAGAGCTGCAGCGCCCAGGGGGTTGTGAAAATACCGTTGGGGAACAATACTGATGAGTGGGGCTGAGAACCCAAGAGGAGTGATCTGGGTCCATAGAAGCCCTGCCAACCTTTGGGGGGCACGTGGCGCTCCCAGACAGTACTTTTCCCGTCAAGAAGAGCAAGTGCTGGCCAGAAGCCTCAGAGCAAACTCTGGGGCCAGGGGAAGCGAGTTTCGCAGGACGCGCTGCAGTGTGTGTGGGGCGCAGGGGCGCGCCCCGCCATCAGCCCGGCCTGCGGCTGCATCCAGTCTCCGTTCTGGCGCGGCCACGCTCACACGATGCGCTTCCTGTCTCCGCGGCAGAGGATCTTCTTGAAGGCGCGGCGGAAGTCGTGGTTGAAGATGGTGTAGATGACGGGGTTCAGCGAGCTGTTGCAGTAGCCGAACCAGAAGAAGAATTTGAAGAGCATACGCGGCACGGAACAGCCGAACGCGGTGAGCGAGTAGGTGAAGAAAAAGGGGAACCAGCACACCACGAACACGCCGATGACCACGGCCAGCACGAACGTGAAGCGCTTCTCGCGGTTCTGCCGCCCGCGCC